TGCTCCTGCACTCTGAAGATGCCGGTCACAGGTGCTGGCAAAATGTTAGGAATCAAGACTTCAAGACCACGGCCACACAGCCCGGAAGACCCACACCAGCCATTTATTAAAGTTATTATTGAATTATAATGTTAGCTTCTATTTGTTCTGTATGTTTTAAAGAAATTCCAAATAAAAATGATGTGTTACAGAGAAAAAGAAATTATTTTAAGAAAATAAATGAAATACTTGATTTAGAAGAATATTATGCTTTCAAACAGTAAGATGTTACAGATTAGTACTTCTGTCCTGCTCCACACACAGCAAGTGAACAATTTTATAGAAAAGATTACTAATCTTCCACCATTGTGGCTGACACTTCATTATAATAGAAGGTCCCTCTATAATTCAAATCAGCAACGTGCTTAAGTGCCTACATATCACATTACTTCCACTTCTACCAGAAATGCTTCAAGGGAAAATGCTTAGAGTAATGTTGACTGCAATGATAGAAATTGTAATCCGATGTATCTTGAGTGGAACAGGCTGCATTAGAATAGAAATATGATGAAGTAAAGCAAATATGAGCTTGAGTGTAGAGAAATTCTTCTGGGAACCTCATTTACCTGCAGAATTGCCTACTTCAACCAGAACCAGCCCAACCAACCAGATCATTTAGGGAGAAACTCATTATCCCACATTTAAGAGGGGTGAAGGGTACTGAAGCCAAATGGTGTTGCTTTTCTGTGGTGGCACCAGTGTTCTGGAATAAATTTCCTGGTGGAAATCAAGCTAGCACCCAACTTATTGGTTTTAAGGAAGATGTTAAGCTAGTGGGTTACAACAAATCCCTAATTTCTTGCAACCAGAAGATCTAAGAGTAAAGGCTACAGTATTAATTAATCTTATGTAGAATGTTGCTCAAAGACAGCTGGAACATGTATATACATTAGTACAAGACCTCAATTGGGAAATAAATTATGTTATAACTGACAAAGATATAAGGTAACAAAGAGGGGGACAGAATACCCTTTTTAGTGAAAACATTACAGACACATTCCTTGAAAGACAATATAGTAGCTTTGATATACAAGTTGTGCCAAGGCTCTAACTGATATTCTAACAGGCTGTACTAACTTTCCTGCAGGAACAAAAAAAGGGAAAAAAAATATGAATCCTCAAATCTTCCGCTTTCTTTCGAGGTGTGAACTTTATACCAATTAGTCACTAACAGGCACAGATTGGTCCAGTAATTAGAAAAATCCCATCCATCCACATATACTATAGATATAGATATGTAGATATAGATGTGAATGAATAGGCATTGATTTTGTTAGTGATTAACAAAATTAATTCATCCTGAGTTCTTATTTCAACCCTCTACAGTTATATTGTTTTTTTTCCCAGTCTGGGCTTTTATGATTGTTATTTTATTAATATTTTTAATCATACCATGGCATTTTTAACATTTTGCTATATTATATATCATATAAGCCGCCAAGAGTTCCTGGATTGCATCAGTTCCTGATGTAATCAATCAGTCAATTGTATTGATTGTACTGAACATTGGTATTCATAGTAAGTACAGTGAGTATATGGAAGTCCTTGGTCACACAGAAACACTATATGTACATGTATGGTTGCATAAATGCATTACAACACTGTGCACATACAGTTCTTCTTGATCAAGGATTTTATCTTTTAGCATGTTCAAGACTACCATACTATGCTTTCAATTTAGGTGATGGTTCAAGCAACCTCTGATGTACATAACCATGTCATTCTATAATACTTCTATATATCAACTTTTGCAAAGTTTGGATCACCAATTTGTGCATGGCAACTGGCTGCCCTTTTGCACATGCACAAAAACTAGCAACCTTTTCTCACACACATGAATGAGGCAGGCCGACTTTAGAGAATGCCCAAAATGGCAGCCAGCTTTTCACACATGAGCAAACAGCCAGCCACCATGTTCTACAGAGCTATATAGAGGCAAGTTTACCTAAGTCAGAGATTGTCTACATTATATTATATTACCATTGATTTACAATGGCATATTTTGGCCAAGAAAACAGAAGAACAGATGAAATCAAGGTATCTGTAAATAAGAACATCACAATGTAAAATTATTTTCTTGAATAGTTCCTTGCCCTTCACTGCAGGTATTATAGGAGTTGTAATAATTTGTTTCCATTTGTCCATTCTAAATATAATTTTTGCATGTAATATAAAATTTAGTATTCCAATAACAAGCAAAAAAAGCTGGGGAAAATTAAAGAAAGGACATCTTTATAATTCCAACTCAATGAATCTTCACAATGATTTCCAGAAACCAAAACAGTATGCTTTTTGCTATCAAGAATGAAATAATTAATAACCCCTAGACCAATTCTAAACATTTGGATCCAAGTTCCTTTGCAATATGTAAAATTTATCTCTAAGTACATTTAGACAGAGATGATGCTCAAGATTTTAAGCAGTTACTTATTAAGGCTATTTTTATTTGCCTTTTCATTGAGCATGGATGTTGCTCTACTTTAACACTATCAATCCCCTAAATGAAAGATTGGAAGCCAACTATAGAATGAAATACACCATCTTCTCTGCTTGAGGTGGCTGGGTGGAATCCACACACGAGATTGAGAGAGGAAGGGATAAAGCATGTAATCTAACACCTGCATCTGATACCTTAACAATGATTAAGCAAGCAAGAATATTACAACTATTTAGGATCTATTATGTATCTATAGTTTTAAAAGCACATTTTTTGTTATTCGGCATTTTATGCTAGCAACTTGTAACTTCAGCAAATTCTCCTTATGCCTATCCACCAGATGCATTCTTATCTGTCAATAATTTTATTTTATTTATTTATATATCAAATTTGTCACTGCCCATCTCGTTAAAATGACGATTTCAGTAATAATGTTACTGAAAAGAAAGAAAGTTAATTTCCATAAATAGTATAAGTAGGCTTTTAAGTGAAAAAAAAAAAGCTAACGTCCTAAGTTTTATAACTCCTCCATTCAGGCATCTATAAGCAGTAATAAATGAGGCAACACAAATATAAAGTATTGTTATTACCTCAGAAACCATTTTTAAGCTGTGCTGATTTAGCCATTGAACTAATCAACAATCTGCTATTACATTATAATATATGACGTATACCTCAAGGATTGGTGAGAGGAAGGTAACTACAACTTAATATATATTAATTATGGTTCCCATTTTATAAGGTTCTAAGGAAGGAAAAAAAGAATGTGGGCTCTCAGTAGAAGTTTTAGGATCAAACGACGCCTCTATTATCAAATAAAACCTGCTTAACAGGAACACTCTTTCTCTACAATTCTGCCAGTGGGTGACCCAGGCATCCAGCCAACACTTCAGAGTCCAACATCAATTTTAAAAATATAAAGCTAATCAAGTACTAAGCACCATTTGCAGCATTTAAAATTAAAACATTCAAATGCATCCCAAGAGAAGATATCTTAGTCGCTTATCCTGAAAGAAATCTCAGCCTGATCAACGTCTTGATAAGAAACATGTTTTGAATCCTCTATATTTTAAGCATGAGTATTCATAAGCCAGTTATTTGAGTTCCTATTAATATGCTATTTATAATAAAAAATAAACATTAGAAGAATATACAGAGAGAATTTTAATACACCAAAATGGAAATATAAATTGATCTCCCGAATTTCTACAGAAGCTCATAATCATTACTTCCACATAGACAAGATGAGATTGAAGGTGAGAGAAAATATATAACTCCCATGAGAACTTCTACCACATATTTGTGCCACACATCAGAAAAGAAAGATAGTGAAGACAGAACAATGTTTTAGCACATAATTTTTCTTAGAGTACACACAAGTAAAAAAGGACAAAAACTGTACCTGAGAGGAAAGCCAACTTTTTCTTCAAAATAGACAATATTACTGTAGCATCCATCCTATCTTCTGTTAACTTTCAGAGATCTGAAAATGGAAAAACATAGTATTAGAAGCCACAGCCAAGGAAAATAAATTATTACATGCAATTATGCTAAACTTCTCCAGGTAGTAGGATTGTACCTATTTGCTCCTGTTACAATTTAAGAATGTTTCATGATACAAAACCTATTAACAGTAGTAACATTCTGCTTTTATTTCCTGAAGTCCCTGATTAACTGTATTTTTTTTTTTACAAATTGTGAATTTTAATTCATTTTAATACCTGTCCTTTTGTATTCAACTGTATGTGTCATCCTTTCTACTTTTTCCTAGATTTCCAGTTCTATTTTTTTAGACAACAGAGATTTCAGTTATTGAATTTTTGCAAACAATCCACAAGCACAATAAAATGTTCATCAAAATTAGCAGGACATCATTTCAATCTCATGTTTAAATATTATCTCGTTCAGTACTGCAGCTTGAATTTTTAAAAAATCACATTTCCAGTGGGGATCTGCAAAACATTTTGTGCATTCATGTGGTCTACACCCAATCCAAAATCTCCATATTTGGTCCAGGCATAGACCTAAAACAAATGTGATTCAGGCAGAAATGTTGCAGAATAAGGAGTGGGAAAAAGGCCATCGCTGATGATGACATACAACTGCAGTTAAAAGGAAGTGGGGAAAGAGAAAGGCACTAGGAAGATTAGGGCAGGGTGGTTATGTTGCACCTGAATTCAGGGGATGAGATGGCAGGTAAAGAGAGCTGAGGAAGGGAAGGAAAATGAGGATGATGGAAATATCAGCACATTGTGTGAAGGAAGATGGGAGAGGGACAAAGTACACAAGCCTGGCCTACTCACCCCCTAAGATCCTTCTACAATTTGTCATGGCTGAAACTTGGAAACACCAAGATGTTTCAGATTTTGTTCTGGCCAAACCAAGACTCACCTGGAATGTTCCACTGATGAGGCACAATGTGGTTGTTTTGGGTTACACATAGTAAACACACCTACACACTTTCTGATTCACACATATTCCTAACCATTTTTATTTCCTTCTCTCATATTAACATGTAAACTGTATCCTCTAATCCTCACTGATTGGTATAAATGAAGACAGAAAGACCTTCAAACACCAATATTAAGTTCAGACAGCTTTATTTGTTCTTGTTGCTTTGGTATAGATAGAAGAAGGGAACAGTCTGTAGAACAAGCATTTTCTTCTTAGTTAACTAAGATCCTTAAGTAACTTAAGATCCATCATTCTATAAAACCTTTTCTATTATTTTGATTTGTACACATCTGACAAATAACAGAAATGACATCCTCAAAAGGGTTTTCAGCTCTGTTAAGTATGCATAAAAATAATTAAATGCAATGTTTGTAATGTTAACATTATTATTTTTTCATATACAGAGTTCAAATAAGCACCTTAAGTACCCCATTTACCTATTAATCAACTACAAAACCTTGAAATATGCAGGTAGTATTTTCGTGCACAGACTGATTTGATTTAGACTAATCCTGATGCAGCCTATTAAACCCTAATGAAGAGAACTGGAAACCTCTCTGCTTTTATTCTATCTTCTACTTTATGTTTGTGTTAAACATATTTTAGAGGAATGAGGTGCAACTCAGAGGACAGTGAGGCATATAGGGCACAGATAATATCTTCAGCCTCAGTAGACCTAAAATACCTTCTCCTCCCCCATTTTCTCTTGCATAGGAATTTAGAATCCTTTTTTCTTTCATGGAAGGTAGGGAGAACAGATATTTTTGCCCATGGAACAAAGATAACCCTTCTTCCAGTTCATGAGCAACTACATCTTTATTTCACTGAATGTCTGATTAAGTGTGCTTAACAGAATGAGTACTACTAAACATAATTAGAACCTTTTCAGCACACCAATACTGGAGGGATACAATACACTGATGGAAATATGAAGGATAAAAAAGTGCTCTGACTAGCAGAAGGACAAGCTTTCAACATTCTTGAAAACAGATATTGATATTCAAAAGAAATGGCATGGGGAGGGGAATAACCTCCCACATAATTATAAAAGTAACAACTGTAGTATGTAACTTAAAGACGCCCTGATACCATGCCTGGCTGAGTAACATCTTTTTGAGCATTATCATTTTTTTTACAGTACTAAAAAAGCATTTTTATCAAACACTGGCACATTTTCTTAATCTACCCCATGTAAAGAAATGCATTATTGTATCACCATCAATTTTATCTTTACAATATAAACTATTCTAGAAAATGCATTCAATTATTTTGATTGCCAGAAACTTTTCAGAAACACATTTCCTATATTCAGAAACTGAGCTTCCTCAGGCCATTTTAATTATATAAATCCTACTGTTTTTAAAATACATTTTATACACACACATACACACACACAATTTCTTTTCTAATCGAAATTTATGTTACAACTTCACCATTAACATGATCAAAATCTTCCCAAGTTCTGAATCAAAAATGTTGAATGACTTTTTTATACAGTGGTTTTAAAGGTCATATATTAAATGTGTCTCTGCACTCTGCATCTTTTCCACCTCTTAAAAAAAGATCCAGTCAATGTACTTTTAATTTTTTAATTTTAAAGCAAGTGGATACTAGGAGAATCTCAACTCATATATGGCACTAGCCCTATTTTTCCTTAATACCAAGCATTATATGATATACAAAAAGTAGAGAAGGTATGCCTAACTTAAATCTGTTTTAAAAATGTATTATTTAGACTAAATAAGAAATTCATAATGTCTTTGTGTCCATTGCTTCTAAGATTTTACAGGTCTCAATATTCTTATGGTTTTCAATTCTAAAGATTTTGAAACACTAACATTCTAGATCTAGCATATTCAAGGGAACATTCAACAGGAAAAAAATTACATCCAGAACGTTCACTGGTTCATAACCTGCTGAGATAAATGTGGATCAAAGAGCACTTCCACTCTACCGACCTGTTTTTTCAAAAGGATTACAACCAAGAACAGGCTGAATCCTGATTCATGAACTTCCTCCCACTAAACATCAGGAACTCCAGCTTCTTGGGATTTGTATTTTCAGTTTATTCATCCGCATCCAAGCCATTAACAAATACAGGCTGAGCTCAATTCTAGCTCAGTACAGAAATCCAAATTAAGCATTCTAAACAGGTGGCTGTCCAACTCTTTCTTGAAGGTAGCCAGCAAAAAGGAGCCCATTACTTCTAGGTAATTGGCTACACTGTCAACATGCTCCTACTGTTAAAAAAACTTCCTAATATTCAATCAGTACCTATTTTCCTTGTTTCTTACACTCTAGAATAGAGAACAGACCATGATCTTTTTCCTTGTGAAACCTTGCAAATATCATTTTTTTCACAATATTTGTGTTAGAGTTTTAGAGTTAATTAGAAAAGATATACAAACAAAAAATTAGAAAGAGAACAAGGAAGAGAAAAGGACATATAAAAAGTGACTCCCCACCCCCAGACAAGTATAAGCATTTACAGTAACTTAACATCTTCTCTGATATTACAGAAAAAGAAACTCTTCTTCCCATTTCTCATCATTAAACAATAACCAAATTATATACTGTATAAAAAAATAACTGATCAGTCTTACACAGCAAAAGCATTAAGAGTACCAGTAATAATAACCCATATGTTTTAAGCTTAAACAGCTAGATCTATTTTACATTTTGACTTACAACTTTCTCTAACAAGTAAAATGTAAAAAAAATTATCCCCGTAAAAATAAAGAATATGAATAATAGCAACATATATATTTTAAACTAGATCCAATAGGTCTCTTTTACATATTAACTCCTAACTTTCTCTAACAAATAGAAAATAAAAGATTCATCCTTATATAAAAAAAATCTTTACATTGTCTTGCAGTCCTGGTCAGAAAAATAAGATTCTAATACTAACAACACAAAATCAAAGCTTATACAAATTAATGCTGGTCAAATAAGTCCACTTTGAACACCTTTTTCTTCTTTTTAAGAGGCTTGATCTTCAGTCGCTTCTTCAAATAAAGTCCCACACAGTGATTTCTTATCATTTTCTCCCCGTTTTCAGAAGCAACTTCAGAAATTTAACACTTCCCTTTTGTGGATCCAAAGTAAAATGACTCTCCAACTCATTCTGGTTTGTAATCTGGACGTCCCCTTTAATTGTTAAAACATCAGCCAGGAAAGTTTGTATATCCATTACAACTTCTTTCTCCATGTCACTCTTGTAATCAAACATCTTTAAGTCCATTTTCAGGTCAACAACATCTTTTTCCCCTTTAATTGTTAAAACATCAGCCAGGAAAGTTTGTATATCCATTACAACTTCTTTCTCCATGTCACTCTTGTAATCAAACATCTTTAAGTCCATTTTCAGGTCAACAACATCTTTTTCCATATCTTCCATATCTCTTTTCTAATCTGGCATTTCTTTAAAGTCCATTTGAAACTCCTTATTCAAATCATCCTCAGCTTCTGTTTTATCCAGTACAATCTTTTCTTCTTCTA